GGCTTTCAGTCTCCACCTATGATGCTGTGTTTTGGTTAACAGGTTACTATACACTGTACAGTAATGCTTTGGGGGATGCTGAATAAACTGTTGTGCATTTTGATTATATTTTGACTTTCATCATGTGAGGTCAGGTATGGATTTTTCCACTTGGCATCATAATGACGGTCAAAAAAGTTTCAGATTTAGGAGCTTTTGGATTTTGGGATGGTCAACCTGTACTTCTCTCTTTCTTATTCCACTTCAGCTTATGTTGACCTCTTTACTGTTCTTCAAACATGCTAGAAACCTTAGGTTTTTTGCTCAAGCTGTTTGCAAGGAATACTTTTCCACCAGAAAGCTCTATGACTTGCTCCCTCATTTCTTTTAAGTCTTCCTGATCACCTTACAGTAATCCATTTTTATCACTCCCTTTTTGGAACTCCTTTTTCACTTCTGTGTTGTAGTTGTATCCATTACTATGTTTTGTTTTTTAATTTTTTATTTTGTTCATTGTTTGTTCCCCTCCTCTAGTATTTTGAGTTCCATAAGGACTGAGAATTTGTGCATGAATGTTTTATGGCATATCCTCAGCACTTAAAACAATGGTAGGCACTTAGTAGGTATTTAACCAATATATTTTAAGTAAAGTGAATTTTATGTCATCAGGGAGATGGACTCACAAGTAACATTTTATCTCCTTTCAGATAGAATGTCTCTTTATTCTTGTTTCTTTGTATCAGCTTGAATTTCTAGAATGATGTTAAAAATAATGGGCAGTTTTGCCTTCCTCATTACCTTATTAATAGGAATGCTTTTCCTGTTTATTGTGCTTTTAGTTCTTGTATTGAGATAGGTCTGTTTTAAATCAAATTAAAGAGGTAAATTTCCTTTAATTTACTCAGATTTTTTTTTCTGAAGGACAGAATAGAGAGTGGATGTGGAATCTTAAATAGCTTTTAAGTATTTGGTTAGATGATTACATAGTTCTCTTCTATTACATATTGATGTCATAAATTGCATCAGGAAATACTTTAGTATTAAACTCTCCTTTTCTCCCTGGAATGAATTGTACTTGGTCACAGTATGCTATTCCTTTAATTTATTGCTAGATCAAATTTGCTGAGCTTTACATTATTCCTAGTACTTATAAGATCGCATGTTATTTGTTAGTTTCAATTTGTTCATTCCCTGATAAGGAGAATTTGGTCCAGACAAGTATTTGCTCACAGAGTTGCTCCAATTCACCTTGGATCACTTCATTGTCCATCTACACCGCTATTTTCAAATCTTAAGCTTGAGTTGACGAGTCATTTTCATTATATTTTCAGTGATTTAGCTCTCTCCCTAAACCTTTTTAACTTACAACTTACTTATGTTTTGGTTGATTACAACTGGATCCTTCCCATAATTCAAACTAAACAACTAGAATCATCCTTGACTTCTTTCTTGCTTTCATTCTACATATTCAATTCATCAGGAAATCCTGTCTGCTTTTAACATAATTTTAAATGCTCTATGTGTCCAAATCTATGTCTTGACTTTCTTTTATTTATGTGTCATTACTTCACTGTTTAAATTATTACAGCTTTGTAACATGTTTTAATATCTGATGGTGTTACACATCCTCCCAGAGCAGTATTGTTTACTGCTTTGTTAATAATGAATGTTGCTGTGGCTACATCTGGGAACAGAGTGATTGTTTTTGTTTGTTTTGTTTTATTTTGTTTCTCCCCCTGCTACTCTTTTAGTGATTTGATCTTTTTTCCTGGATAACACAGTGATTCTTTCTTGCTCTTTAAGTCCACTAAATTTACTAGGCTCTCTGTCTCAGTGTTGACTCTTTTGGTTCCGTTTGCCCTGGGATACACTGTACACTGTATATGCTTTAGATCATGGTTTCTTTTTTCCTCAGGAAGAATATTTTGACTACTATCATTAAGGGTATATCTCATTTGATTATTTTAGTTTTTTCTTCAAGAAATCAATAATTTAAAATCTTATTTCCATTACATTTTCCACACTTTTGTCATTCTGTCCCCTATATTCCTTATTGTGTCCTTAACAGCATCTGTTCTTTCTGTTTCCAGTTGTACTTTCAATTCTATGACAGTTTTATTCCTCTGCTTCTTTCCTTAGCTCTCCCAGTTCGTGTTTTATCTTTTCTGATTTTTTTTTTTTTACCGTTTCTTCTCTGTGTTTATAGAGCTCTATTTTGTGCAAAGAGCTTAATGGAGTCTATTAATTTACTAAAATTTTTGTTTAATTTATGGAAAGTTATTTGGTCACAGTTTTCAAGTGTTTTTGTTTATTTATTTATTTATTTTTATTTGTTTGCTTGTTTTTAATGTATATCTTCCATTCTATTTTTTTTGCATCCTTTTTTCTCATAGCATTTTTCTATTGTACTACTTTTTGGAGGGATGTGAGTTTTTCATCATCAGCTATTTGTAGGAGGCTTATGTTTAAAAGGAGCTAGGATCATGTTCCTGTTTAGATGGAATATTTCTACAGGCCCAATTTTTGTGTATGTGTGTTTGTCACCTTTTCAGGCTGTCTTCTTTTCCCCACCCCCTATTTATCTTGATATGGAAGTAGTTTTCTTTTTAATAATTGTTTCTATAACCTAACCAGTAATTAATAATTGCTTTTTCTGTGACTTCTCATTCCACCTTGCTCCTCCTACTTCTTTGAACCATACCAGACCAAGGATCCTCCTGCTGCTGTCTTGTGTATGTCATTTCCACTATTGAGAACAGAGGATTCAATTGTGCATCCTAAGTTTTGCTGTTCATTATAGAGAAATTTGTTTTCTTATTAGAAATTTATTTTGCTTTTTTTTCTGAAAAATTTGCTGTTTTTTCATATCATGGAGAGCCATACCATCCTTTCTTAATCCCTTCCCCAGACCTATTTTTATTTGTACTGCCATTGGCTTCTCTTCAACCCATTTTGTGATTAAAAATTTCTATGATTTGCTATTTTTCTCCCTCTTCACTACTGTGAATTATTTCTAACATGAGAAAGGAAAATGCCAACTTATATCATCATCTTCAAATTAGAAGTCTAAGGTATTCATTTATTTTTCATTCCATCAGTATTTTTACTGACAAAAATGTTTTTACTTTTGTAAACTGAGTATGGAACAGTTCTCCAAATTGATGATGGTAGATTTTCCTTTAGTTTTATATTCATTTGACTGTTTTAGCCAGGTTTTAGGGAGTAACATTGATTTGCTATTTTTGATTCTTAAATGCATCCATCATACATTTTTTTCTATTTTTATGTATGCTTTTGAATAAGTAAAAGATATAATTCTACCAAAATTCAAAAATTATAAAAAGATACAGAGTGAGAATTAAGTTTCCTGGTAGTCTCTCATATCTCCCCTGCAGAGCTAATAATTCTTCTGTTTCTTTTTTTAACCTTTGAGAGATATTCCATGTAAAAACAAATATGTATTTATATGTAGATTCATGTTTTTATATTTTCATTCAAATACTAGTACTATACTCAATATTTTTGCACATCTCCTTTTTTATTTAATATACCTTGGAGTTAATTCTTTATCAAAACCATAAACTGCTCTATTCTAAGATTTGCATAGTATATCACTGTAAAAAAAATACCCCAAACATTTACACTTTTTACTATGGATGATATTGATTGATTGCTGTATGGCCACTTTGCAGTAAATAACCTTCTATGTAAGCCATTGTGCTTGTGTTTAACTATATCACTGAGATAAATCAGTGAATGTTTAATTGGAAGGTTGGTTTCTTCTTGGATCTCCTGTTTCCTCAAATGCCACTGGTCTACCATAGCTGACTAGCATCTCCCAACACAATATCTTTTCTAAAGACTTTTTTATTATAAAATTTTTAAGAAAATACTGAATTGTATAATTTTCTATGTACCCATCACTCATCATTATCAATATTTTGTTTTATCTCTCTCCCTCCACACACATTTTTTCCTTAAATGTTTTAAGGCAGATTTCATATATGCCATTTTACCTATAAACAATTCAGTATGTATCTCTAACAAATAAGGACACATTTAAAAAAAAAACAAAAACAAAAACCTCAAACCATTTACCACCATGCCATTATTACATCTAACAAAATTAACAATATTTTTCTGATTTCATCTAGTTCCCATCTTATATTTTCCTATGTGACTCAAAGTATACTTTTTCAGTTTGTTTGATTAAATATCAAAATCTTCACATTTGCTTAAATTTAAAAAATTATAACAGTGTTCCTTTCCTGTCTGTTTTTCATGCTATTTGTTTTTTTTTCAGAAAAAATAATATACATATAAAATAATGTGTAGGAATCTCTCAACTCTGGATTTGGTTGACTGTTTGCTTTTTGTGTTGTCTTTTAATATATTTCTCTAGTCCCTGTGTTTCCTATAAACTAATAACGAGATATCTACGATTGATTAGATTCAGGTTCAATTTCCTTGGCAAGAATACTTCATAGATGGAGTGGTGTGTATCCTCTTTCATCACAATAGGAGATGCACGATTTCTACTTACCTCTTTTAATAATAATAAGAACAGTGTGGTTAGGTGTTCTCAGCTTGATCTTATAAAGTTAGCCATTGGTGTTTTATCTAGTGAACATTTTCTACATTAATAGCAAAATGATGATTCAATTATTCTGTAATTGTTGAATGAACAGTTATAGCAACTTGTAGTTTTTATGGATTCACTAATGTTCTATGAATTTCTAAATTAAATAGCAGTTGAGAAGAAAATTTATTATTTATATAGATAAATTTTTTAAAATCTAGGTTAGAAATTACCCATGGTCCTTAAAAAAATTCAGTAACAACAACTTTTGAAGAGGAGATTACTATTCAAAATGATTAAAAATATATCTGAAATGACTACATGGCCTGTCCTATAAGATTTGTATTTCCATGTATAGGTATTACTTTGTGATGTCAAGGATGTATCCATGCTATTAGGACATATTTTACAAAATACACTTTTACTTTTCATTTTTGTATAGGTTATTAAATGTGGTATGCTGTGATCTGGACACTCTTCTACTATTAGAGGCTCAGTATCAAGTATCTGAAATGCTGCTAAATGCTCAGGAAGAAAATATCTTAGAGACTTCTGAGAACCACAGGTAAAAAAAGGGTTATTAAAACATAGTAATAAGTTTTCTTTACAGATGCTTTAAGACACTAATTTTCTATTTAGTTTAATGTTTTTCTACTTTCTGAATTCAATAGATGTAAATAACACAGTAAAAAGCAATTAGGGCGTAAATGTCACAGAAAGATTATAGATGTTTTTGGAGAGAGCTTGTGGAGTATACTTTCAAAGTTTGTATTTTGTTTTTTCTTTTTCTTTTGGGTAAGCCCTAACATTATTAGTGGTTGCATGAAATTGTATCACCTTTAAATTCAGACTACTTATGTAAGATGACCCATTAAACAAAATGCTTGATTTTGTGTGGCTTGTGGATGTACTCTTTATTCTTTTAATTATGTTAGTTCATAGTCATAAATTTTGATTATTTACAAAATTGGGCTATGGTAATGTCTTGATAATTTTTATTAGTAAATAATTATTACATTTGCCATTACCTCAGTTTGGCTGACAGTTATCAAATATACGTTCAATAGCTTTGCATTGCTTTTATTTTTGTAATTAAAAAAAAAAAAGATGTCTCCATCCTACCCAGGTCTTGGAAAATTATAGAGTATATTACTTAATGCTCTAGGTTTGATGTAGAAGGAAAGTATTAACAACAGCTACAGAAAGTGTGGAGGCTGCTCATAAGCAATACTTAGATTTTGAATTTAACGCACTAGGTCTAGAACATAAGAACCTTGACTGAAAATGTGATTGTTAAAATCACTCTGGAAATAATGCTTGCCCTAATCTCATTTTTTTTAAATGGCAGTAACATTTATCAAGGGAGTATTCTTTTATTAATTTCCTATATCTTCATCAGCTGTTTGCTCTCTAGCAAAGAGAGTTATTTATAAGATAATGTGAACTTAGCCTTTGTATTTTAGGAGATACATTGATAAATAATGTTTTCCAGACTTTTCTGACTTTTTTTCTGTATAATCTAATGACTTGATTTAAAAATTAAATCATATTCAATTAAAGAGATATCAAAATTGATAAATTTATTTTTTGCAGGGGCTTTATAATTGATGGCTTATCTGTGGAGAGAAATCATGTTCTTGTTAGAATAAATCTTATTGGTGGGCCATTGGAACGGATTTTGCCTCCAAGGATACTAGAGAAGGTGAGTGGGGTGAAGAGAAGCGGAGAATGTTTTCCTGACATATTTTGAAGGAAAGTAGCCAACTGAAGTGACACTAAACATTGTCATCTCTCAAATGTCTATATCACAGTGTTGAACTTTTGGTACTTAGGAAAATCTAGGATGCAAGTAAATGCTTTCAAACTAAAAGAGTATTCTTGATGGCAAGGGGTCATGAGTGTCGGTTTGTGTAGCACAGTGGGGTATTATTTATTTAAAAGTTGTCATTCTCGCTGTGTGTCTTTAAATATTTTACTTTCGATGTCTTTCTCTTTCATGCTACCTACCTTTTATTACTAGATGACTATGCTATTTTTGCATTTCATTGGCAATATTGATTACTTCTCTTTCAATCAATATATATATAATATGGGTTTCTCATAGAAGTTTTCTTTGGTTTTCTTGTTATTGAGAACATTCTTGCTTTGACTGTCACTCTGGGAAAAATGAGATAGAAATGCTTGACAGCACAAGGAAAAGTTTATGGGAAAAAATACCAATTTCTTTTGATGATTACAATTTTCCTTTCATGAAAAATGTAGTAAAGCCATCATCATCAGTTCTAGTCACTAGAACAAATTACCATATGTCTGTCTTCAGTGCTTATTTAATGTTGTTTGTGTTATACTTTGTTTTTATTATCATGTGTCAGAATATTAAAGTGTAGTATCAAACAGCTTTTGGTTAGTTGGACAACAACTCTAGAATTTATGAGCATAAAAGCTAATTTCAATTAATCATATTTCGGATAGCTTTAAAATTTAATATTATTTTAAACTACTTCCTAAAGTCACCTGTCTTGCTGCATTTTTAGGGTGAGGATCCATATCCTTGGCCAATGTTTTCATCATATCCCTTGCCAAACTGCTATCTTTCAGAAGTTACAAGAAATGGTGATACAAAACAAGGTAAAATGTTTACCATCAAATGCCATGTTATTTTTAATGCTGTTTTTATCATTTGAAAAAAAATAAGGGAATGAATATTGAGTTTTGTTCACCTTGTATACATAGGTGCATTTATGCCTATTTCTTTGCAATGTTTTGTTTTTCTCATGTTTCTTGCTAAATCTGTATGGTCATGTGCCACATAATGTTTTGGTCAACAGTTGACCACATATATAATGTTGGTCCTGTAAGATTATAATACCATCTTTTTATTATGCATGTTCTATGTTTAGATATGCTTAAATACACAAATATTTTCCATTGGGCTATAATTATGTACAATAGTCAGTACAGTAACATGCTATACAGGTTTGTAACCTAGGAGCAGTAGAGTTGGTGTGTAATAGCCTATACCATCTAGGTTTGTGTAAGTACACTCTGTGATGTTCACATAAGGACAAAATCATCTAATGATACACTTCTCAGGATGTATCCCCATCATTAAATGATGCATGGCTATATTGGTATGAGGCCAAATAATTTTTCTTGTGGCTAAGATGTGACAATCTGTCTAATAGCAACAGCTGTTTGGTAAAAAAAGGAAGTAATGGTTTTTGGTTTATTGAATTAATTCTAAATATATAGAACTTTTATTTATTCAACAAAGTAATATGTTTGAATAACTGCTGTGTGCCCTACACAAGTCCTATGTATTCCAGACTTGAAATATAGTGAAAATCATGGTACCCACCTTTGTGGATTCATGATTGTTTAGAGAACATATTCAAGTAATTATATAATTGTATAGTGGTACAGTGTGATAGCAAAATATACACATGTATAGCCTGTTAGGGTAGTATGTAAAAAGGACAGTAAAATTATGTGTAAAAGGAGGCATGAAGTTTAAGTATGTGTTTTCTGGGTAATAGAAGAGGAAATAGCAGAGGGGCTGGAAGAAGCACATCTTATTTAGAGAATGACAGGAGGTAAAACTAAACATGTAAGCCAAGTCCAGCCGTAAGACCAGTGGAGCTCAAACTCAGATATTTAGACTTTATCTTAAGAGCAATGAAAATTCAAACAGATTTTTTAGGCTAAAGAATTCTAAGATGAAAGACAAAGATACATGATCAAACTATTCATTAATTTGAAAAGTTAATTCTTATATCAATGTGTTATCCTTTATAATACCATCAAACTGGATGGTATTGCACTGGTAAGAAATAATACGTATAAGGTTCATTTCACATTCATTTAATGCACTTAAAAAGTTTTTCCTTTGTGTTTCTCTCTTGTATGACTTAATCCATAGCTTTCAGAGACATGGGGGTGATAGTATTTTTCAAGAAAAGACTCTTGAGATAGTACCATTTTGGACTTTTTTTCTACTGAGTCACATCTTTTAATGAATCTAAATCAGTCTCAAGCTTTTAACCTCATGGTTTCCTATCCTACTTTCAGTCTTTTTATCAGGATCTGTATAGAATGTCATTATTATTTTAGATTTCATCATTTATTCACCCATTCATTCATTTATTTAACACATGGTTTTGAGTGCTGATTATCAGGTGCTTCCATAGCATTGGTTATAAGATAATACATAAAACTTGGTAGATTTGGTTCATTTTCACATGGTGATTCAACCTTTTTCCTGATCTCTTTTTCTTGTGATGATATAGCATTGTTATCTTTGCTAAGCTTCACTTGAAAATAAATATGTCTTTATTAGCTTTTTGAATAACAGATTCATTATCAGTTTTATTATGTGATTGCCATCTTTGATAATTTGTTTCTTCAAAATAATTTGGTAAACTGAATCAGGCAGACAGAAATCAAAAAAATAAGATTAAATGAACATTACCTTGAGAAGAAAATATATCATCAGTTCCTACTAATCAGTGCTCAGAGGAGTATACTTTTATGTCCTGCTCTACCCTTATAAATTATTTAGAAATGAGAATAATAATAGTTTCTCTGTCTAGCCCAGAAGATAACTACAGATTTCTGACCTCAGGTGGGCATGTAATGCTGCCAGGCAGTCATATGTTGTGTCCTCAGATCTATTTGCTTTCCTAGTCTCCTAGATGACTATCTTCAAAACTTCTCTCTCCTCAAATATTCCTCTCCTTCCTCATCTTTCCTTTATATATCAATAGCTATGTTTCCTGTTTTGTTGGTTATATAAAAATATTCTGTAAAGAACACCCATGTGCTCCTGATGCAAATTATCTCACTTAACTATATCTGTGCCACTTTAGGTTTTCTATTATTACTGTTGCTACCTAAAGTTCAGTACTTGTCCCCAAGACCAAATCAGTGATAATGAAAAACAGGACAAAAGGTTTGAGGAAAGGGAAAGGGAAGTTGATTAATTTGCCAGCAAATGAGTAGAGCAGTTGACTAGCATCTCAAAGACTACCATCCTGCCTTTAAGCAGAAAAACAGGGCTTTTGAAAAGAGGAGTTTTTGGCAGTTGGGCTTGGGTCTACTTGACCAGTGTCACATGTTGTGGCTTCAGGCTACTGTTGTTTAACTATGGTTGGTGGTTTGGGTCAACGTTATCTCCTGTGATGACATCTTGTGACCCTTGGACAATTCTGTTGAGTTATCTCCTGTGGTTTAAGATACTAGAAAACAAACAGCAAACAACATTTTTTCTGCCCTTTTGATTACTGGCCTTGGAGAAGGAATGCAGGTTTTAATTCCCCAAAAAGATGGGGGATTTTTAAAGAGACAACTTGTAAAAGATTTCATTGCCCTTTTTCAGACCTTTACCTCTGTTACAGTTAATGAACTGCCATGGCTACTTGCAAAGCCCGGTTTTTCCATTTGTGTGCCATATGCCATGCTGTTTCTTTTCAAAGATATTGTTTCTAACAGTTCTCTTTTTTCCTTTCCTTCATTCCCTTCCTTCCCTTCTTCCCTTCCTTCCTTTCCTTCCCTTCGTTCCCTTTTTTCTTTTCTTTCTTTCTTTTTAAAATCTGGATCCTCAGCCTTCCTGCCTACACTGTAGATTTTGGACTTGCCAGCTTCTATAATCACATGATCCACTTCCTTATAATGAATGTCCTATCTCTCTCTCAATTTATTTTTATTTATATACGTACACACTATTGGTTCTACTTCTCTGGAGAACCCTGATGAATACAGGTGGTCTTGAGTGTCCACAACATTGCCTGATTGCATTCATCCATCCTTCACATCTGTTTTCAACTAGCCTGGCCTTACTTTGGATCTTGCTACCCAGCTTTGTTTTACTTTCAAGATTTTAAAATTTATATTTTCTCTCTCTAGCTACAGCCTCCACACTTGTTTGTTCTACTACTCCTAAATATGCATCCACTCTTTAGCTTTACTGGGGCATATAATCATTTGATATTACTTTCACCCAACTCTGTACAGACCATTTAATCCTCTTATAGTTGTTCTTGAACTGTACCCAGCTAGATCTCCTTGACCAGAGATTTCTATAGTACCATTACTAATCTCTTGGGTGAACCTAATTTTTACCACTACATCTTTTAAAAATTATTTTTAAGTGACAAATAAGAATTGTATATATTTATTGTGAACAACATGTTTGGGAATATGTATACATTGTGAAATGGCTAAATGGAGCTAATTAACATATATATTATCTCCTATTATATTTATTTTTGTGGTAAGAACATTTAAAATTACTCTTAGAGATTTTCAAATATACAGGACATTATTATTAACATAGTCACCATGTTGTACAATAGATCTATTAAGCTTATGCCTCCTATCTAACTGAAATTTTAAATCCTTTGATCAACATCTCCCCTAATACCTATCCCTGGTAACCACCATTCCATACTCTGTTTCTACGAGTATAAATTTTTCAGATTCCACATAAATGAAATCACGTGGTATATGTTTTCAGTGCCTGGCTTATTTTACTTAACATACTGTCTTCCTATACTGTTATGTTGTCAAAAATGATAGGATTCCCTTCTTTTTTTTAAGGCTAAACTCCCTCTTTATTTTTTTATGGGGGAGATCTCTATTTAATCTTTTGTAAGCCAATGAGCATGCTGTTTGTTCTCCCATATTTAAAATACCTTCTCTTGAACCCACTTTTCCCTCACTGGAATCCCATTTCTGTCCTTCCTTTTTTTGTAGAATTCCTTGAAGGAGTTGTATATACTGGGTATTCAAGTTACTCTCTGTTCTCTCTTGAACCTGCTTGCCAGCTAAGCAGACTTTTATTCTAACACTCTGCTGGCATTAAATCCATTGTTCAGATCTCAGTCCTTATCCTAGTAGACCTACTAGTATCACTTGACATAGTTGAAGCTGTCCTCATTTTTTAAATAATTTCTTCAGTTGGCTTCCAGAAAATATAGCTGTTTGATTTTCCTCCTGCTTTTCTGTTGAATTCTTCTTTGTCTCCTTTGTAGGATCTTTCATCTTTTTAACTTGTAAACTTTGGATTGGCCCAGGGACCGGTTCTCAATTGTCTTCTTTTTGCCTAGCTGTATTACTGCTGTGAGGATTTCATCTAGTCTTACGCTATTCAATATGCGGATGGTTCTCGGACTGATATCTCTAACTCCTATCTCTATCTTGAACTCTTGTCTCATATATCAAAATGCCTACTTGAAATCTCTGCTAGGATGTTTTAAATAAGTATGTCAAACTTAATATATCTCAGATATACTTTTGATACTCCCTCAAAAATCTATTTCTTTGGCATTTTTCCTCATTTAAGAAATGGCATCTTTGTGCTTCTAGTTCTTCAGGCAATAAATCTGAAGGCAACATTGCTCTCTTCCTTTATACCCCACATCTAATCTGTCAGCAAATGCTTTTGGCTCTTTATATCGAGATTAAAACCCCTTTTTCTCAACTATTACTATTGCAGTATCTTGCCAAGTGTTTAGTCTGTTCTCAACACAGCAGCTAGTGTGATGATGTTGAAACATGGGCTGGATCATATTACTCCTCTGAAATCCTTTAGTGGTTTCCCTACAGTCTACAAGGCCAAACGCATTTGTGAC